TTTAGTTGTAATTTCTTTAAATCGTAAATATAATATATAATTAAAAATTTAGTAAATATACAAATTTTGATGAATATTGATGATTTTTTGAAAAAATTTTTAATGAAATATATAGTAAAAATAATACAAATTATATAAAAAATAATGCTAAATTATATAGTAAAAATTGATTGGTGATTTATTTATATCAAATTATATATTAGAAATTGGTTGATAATTTATTTATTATATACCATTAATAGATAAATGTTATATAAGTAATATTATATTGAATAAATATTTTTTGACTAGTAATTGATTTAAAGATCTATTCATATTATTATTAGAGAATGATAATACAATCTTATTAAGAATAATCCTACTTAATTCCAAATAGTAATATGATTATAATTTTTGTATAAATCATTCTATATTCTTATAGATTTTATTAATTCAGAAGAAGAATCAATAGAAAGATCTATTTAAACTTGATTTGAAATAAACTATACTTGGAAATATTATTACTAGTATCTGAATTTTTGTTTTCTAGAGGATTTTGTAATCTGACTTATAAAATGCTAACTATTATACTATTGATCTATAGATCATTTGTATCAAATTAATAATAATATAGTAAATTTTATAATATATAAAAATATAAAGAATAAATAATTTATTTTCTATATTTTTAATAATTAAGACTTTTAAAAAATTTTTTTTTTCTTTAACTTAATTGTATTATATACTGTATATAGTTTATTAATGTTTAATAAAACATATATAATTAATCTGACAAAGAATAAAAATAAATAAATAAATAAATTAAGTAAAATTCTTTAAAAAAATTAAAAAATTTTGCTATATATTAAAAAAAGATTTTTATAAAAAAAAAAAATAATTTTTTATCTAATTTTTTTTACTTAATCCAGCTTTTTTAGCATAAACAACTAAGTTTAAATTTTTAAAAAGTAAAATAAAATAAGAATAAAGATAAATGCTTAGTGATCAAAGCAAGTATATTATATATTAAAAAGAGTTATTATTCTTAAAACATAAAATTTAAAAGAAATACTTCTTTAAAAATGGTAATTAATCTATTATAACTAAGTATGTATAGTATTTTACCTTTAAATCACAATATTTCCATATAATCCCCTCCATTATTTTCATTTCTCTCGTCAGTTATATCGGTCTTTAAAATATTAATGGGCAAAATAACTTTCCACCCTTCACAGGTTGCTATATACAAAGAAATTATTTATTGAATTATGGACGAGGCAGATTTCGACTCGCTTACAAGTTTGCAACAATACTGAATGTAAAGTAATAAGTGCAATACCATTTATAACCTCATAATTCCTGGTCAATATTTCCAAATCTTTTAACATTTGCTTGGTGAGAATGTCCAAACTAGTTAAACTCGCTCGAAGTAAACGAAGAGATTGTAATTCCTTCATAAACAATAGAAATATTTTAATTTTGATTTCTCTTATAAAGATGCACTAGGCTAAGGACTTACTTGTGACCTCAGTTCGTCATTAACATTGATACTTGAGTTAGGCATATTTTTCTTAAACGCGTACTGCGAGAAATGGAACACTGGTTATAATCACGAGAATGAAAATCACATGTCATATTGATTAAATATCGATGTGAATATAGATTTTTTCTTCTACTTCAACGCGAACCTATTCACCATGTCAATCCCAGATGATACTCTGCGCAAGGTAAGCCATGAATGCATAATACCTTTTCAAAATGTTAAATCAAAATATCGTAACATCGAATCATGACAAATAAAATAGGTTCTATTTGAGCTACAAAATCGTCTGGTCGTAAATAACCGACAACTTACCAACGTAAAATCTCAAATTCAAGCAAAAGAACGTTCCAAACGTATGGCAGAACTTACTAAAAATGAATTATCAATCTTTGGAGAAAGTACTAGGACATATAAATCCGTTGGTAAAGCGTAAGTAAAGTTTCCAAGTGTATTATTAAATGATATGCTTCAGTTAACCAAACAAAAGACTTTAAAAAAGTTATTAATTGCCAAATATATATAACATTCTAATTAACAGATTTATTCAAACTGATCTATCAGCTCTAACTGAAGAAATTGATGCTCGCATTTCACAAATCGAAGAAGACCTTACTACTCTGGATAAATCAAAAAAATACTTGGAAAGAAATATTAATGAATCTACACATGGTTTAAGAGAAATTTCTGGTCGTCCTTGAAAAGTTATTATGATCGAAAAGAGGATTTAGATAAAAATTGAACCCGAATAAAATTATTGGGGTAATGAGTTTCGCTTTATAATGTTTATTGTATTCGATAATTTTAAAAGTAAATAGTGAGACTTAACGTTTGTGATTAAAATAGATTATAATTAATTTAAGATATAAATAAACATAATTAAACTGCTTTGATATATTATTTAAAAATCTAGAATATATATTGTACAATAAAAATTTTTTTTGGATTTTTTATTTATTTATCAATTAAATAGAAATTAAACAAAATAAAATTAATTTAATAGATAGTAATTATATTATTAATCTATTAAGGAAATAAAATATTGTTTCTTAAATCTGGCTTAAGGTATCTAATTTTGTTTAATCTGAATTAGTGGACTTATTATATTTTAAATAGTATTATTCTTTAATTAATAATATATAAAAACAAGTTGATTATTATATAATTAATGTAATATTGAAAATATTTAATATTAAAATAAAAATCTGTGGTTGTTTTCAAAAGTTTGAATCCATTTACTATATTTTTATTATAAATTTCAACTTTGATAGTTTTTAAATCATTAATTATATAGTTTTTTTTTTTTTTTTTTTAGAAAGGATAATGAAACCCAGTTTATTGAAGTTGATAGAATAGATCTTACATATTAGTCTAGCTGTTAATTACAGGATGATTCTATAATCAATCTTATACTAACTATAACAAGTTATATTCATCCTACCATTATATCTATAAACCTGATTATAACACCTTGTGTACCCCCATGACTTGTTACCAGAAGAAGCCTTACTACCCCACTACCTACATTTGTGTTACCCTTCCCTGACCCTCATTTCTATAGGCCCGGGTTTATAACACAGGACCCCTTTTATATTTTATCCTACAAATATTCTTTTTACAGTACTTATTACAATATGCCTATGGAATACTCACGTGGAGTCTTAGATATCATCTCATCCTGCTGGAGTACTCTTTTTACATGACCTATTATAGCCTACCTATGGAGTAACCACGTGAAGTCTTGGATAGATATCGATTTAGTAGAGACCCTCTTCTAACTAATGTGTCTAGGCTCCACTAGCTTTCTTGATTTTATGGCATGCAGATCTTCAACCTATCTGCAGGAGTTTGAAAGAACATGTCTTGTGACAAGGTAGCTTCAACACTAAAATTGGCTGAAGCATCTTGTGATCTTTGAATACCCCATAATTGAACGGGATCTTGGTTAGAGGTGATTAGATCATTATCATGAAATGGATAAGATCTTCTTATACCACCTAGGCTTTTAGGTGGTATTTCCTCGCAGTGGTATTGAACTCGGAAACAGTATTTGGTAACCTGGAAGTGTTACCACTATACTATTGATTCACAGGTCTTAATTATACAGTTAAAAATAATAATATATATATATATATATATATATATTTTTTAATTAGTCGTACTGATTGAGCTTTATTGATTTTATGAAAAATATAGATTTGAAATTATAAGAGACTATACTTATAACTATTAACTATACTATTTTTTATTCAATATAATCTGATTTTATCTATTTCTTAAGCAAGTACTATCTTGTCAACTGCCTGTTTTGTCTAGATACTTAGTATTCTGAGAATTCACTAAGGACTACCATTTTTAATTTCAAGAGATATTTTATTTGTTATATGTTTCTTAGAGTATACTTGATTCTTTTTGATAAAGGTGTGTTCAAATCTTGTATGACATTCTTGCCACATTCAGTTTCTTTAGAGGCTAGATTACTTGATGCTTCAATTTCTACTCAATCTAAGTCGAGCCCTGGTAATCATTGATATATCTTGCGGTAACTTAAATCTTTCAGTAATTATTCTTAACCACTCTTCAAAGATGACCTACAGAGGTTTTACTTGATAAACAAAATCTTTTTGACCTCTCAC